CACCTCCTGTACCTCACTCACCTCCTGTACCGCACCCACCTCCTGTAGCGCGCCCACCTCCTGTACCGCACCCATCTCCTGTACCTCACTCACCTCCTGTACCGCACCCATCTCCCGTACCGCACCCACCTCCTGTACCGCACCCACCTCCTGCTCCACACCCACTTCCCCATGGTCCCTCACCCCTCTCCTACACCTCCCCATCTCCACCCCACTTTTGCCCCAGACCCAGCGACTGCAGAGAGAGTCACTGACCTTCAGTTAGACTGAAGGAGTCGGTGATGCGGACAGGGAAACTGGAGAGAGGGGAAGGTACAGGCTCAGGAAAGGAAAGAGGGAAGGGAAGGAATAAAAGGCCAAGGGAGGCAAAAGTGAAGGGGAGGGGGGCGAGGTGAACGTCTGCAGAGGGGAAGGACAAAAGCAGGAGCAGAAAGGAGACTGCTTTCATTGAATAAAAGAGCTTTAAGAGGAACAAAATTATGGGCTCTAACTGTCTCACCCACTGAATGTAGGTGGAGGGGTACTTGTGACGCAGCGGTAGTGTCCCTACCCCTGGACCAGGAGTCCCGAATTCCCACCTGCTCCAAGGATGTGTATTACCATTCCTGAACAGGTTGCTTAAATAAAAAAAAAGCTGTTAGTGATCTTGTTAAGGAATCTTGAAAGTCTAGGGGGATAGGTTCAACTCCCAACCGTGGCAGATACTGAAATTTGATTCTGATATAAATTTGGAATAAAAAGCAGCTCAAAGACATTTCATGTGCTGTTGTCACCATTTTTTAAGAAAAAAACACGCGATCTGTTTAAGGAATGTCATTACGTGATTCTAGACCATAACCGCCCTCCGAAATGGCCAGGGGCTCCACTAAAGGGCAGTTTGTGACACCCAGATCTGGAAGAGGAAGGGGGTAGATTGTTTCCGGGCAGTGGGGAGGGGTTGGGGTTGGTGGAAGAAGGGGGAAATAAATAATTCAGGGAGATGGTACGAGAATCTAATACAGAGGTGAGCAAAGAGATAGGCAAATAGGCTGTAGCTGTGACACGCTCAGTCCAAACAGTAGTTCCAGTTTCACGACAATGAACCAAACCAGGTCATTATATCCATAAACATAGAAGAATGAGATGGAAAAGGTCTTTCAGTCCTCAAGTCTGCCCCACTGTTCAATATGGCTATTGCTGATCATCCAACTCAGTAAGTACCCCTAATCCCACATTCCACCATATCCCTTTCTCCTTTTAGCTACTGAAGCTTTATCTACCTAAAAGGGGGAAGCACAAACTCCAGACAAACTCAGTATGAGCTCCCGGTCAACTGACTGCCACTCTGTTAAGTGATAAATCCCAGAGATTCCGAGGAGAGAAATAGGGGCGATCCACAGGAAAAGTGACCGCGCCCCCCCCCCTCCCCCCCCAACCTTCCCGCTTACACTCTCTCAGGAGCTGACTCCAGTCTGTAGATGTTAAACTCCAAGGTTAGAGGAGAGGAGGCTTCACTCTCTATTTAACCTCTTGCTATTCCTCTCCAGAGAGAGTTTGATGGGCACACCGTGGAGGGAGCTTTAATTTCAGCTTAAAAGAGTAGAGGAGGCTTTACTCTCTAACCCCATGTTGCCCCTCTCCAAGAAGTGTTTGATAGGGACAGAGTAGAAGGAGCTTCAATTTCAGTTTTAAAAAAAACAGTAGAGGAGGCTTTACTCTGTATCTAACCCCGTGCTGTCCCTGCCCTAGAATTTTTTGATGGAGACAGTGTAGAGGAAGCTTTACTTGTATGTAACCCCACGCTGAAGTGTTTGATGGGGACATTGTAGAGGGAGCTGTAGCCCATATCTAACCCCATGCTGTCCTCCTCTGGGACGGTTTGATGGGGACAGTGTAGAGGAAGTTTTACTCTGTATCTAACCCCGTGCTGTCCCTGCCCTGGGAGTATTTGATGGGGGAGAGTGTAGAGGGAGCTTCAATGTCAGTTTAAAGGAGTAGAGGTGGTTTTATCGAATAAAGGGAGCTTTACTTTCAGTATAAAAGAGTTGACAGGGACACGGTGATCATTCAAAATGGAGCCTGTATAAAACCTTTGCCATGGCTTTTACAAAATGGGAAAAGGAGCGACTTACCAGGGTGGATAGTATCCAGCATTTCTCTCCATGCCGTGTACTGCAATGGGCCATTGAACTGTCCCAGAGGGAGTTCATCAGATACTAAAGCCAGCTTTGAATAATCCTCCTCAGACCTGGCAATATGAACGAGTCAACTTTATCAAAGGACCGTGGGCAACCTGCTGGGGATTTCACTAAAAACGGTGCAAAAACTCTCTCCTACCTTGTCTTCCGACCTTTTTCCACCTGAAAAATAATTTTGTAAAAAATAGATTTCAGTGCACGAAGATTTGCCCTGAGGGCAGAAAAACTGTCACAAAAACAAATCATGAAGGGCATGGATAGGGTGAATAGACAAGGTCTTTTCCCCAGGGTGGGGGAGTCCAAAACCAGAGGGGCATAGGTTTAAGGTTAGAGGGGAAAGATTTAAAAGGGACCTGAGGGGTAACTTTTTCACACAGAGCGTGCTATGGAATGAGCTGCCAGAGGAAGGGTTGAAGGCTGGTACAAAGACAACATTTATCTGGATAGGTACATGAATAGGAAGGGTTTAGAGGGATATGGGTCAAATGCTGGCAAATAGGATTGGATTAATTTAGGGTAATAATTCAGGTCTGCACGTACCAGTTGGACCAAAGGGTCTGTTTTATTTTTGTGCTGTACAGCTCTACTTAAGACACTCACCAGGAAAAGGGAGGAAATTGGGCGAATTCTAGCGTCAACTTGAAAATGATTTCACTCTCAGTAATATGGAGTGACTCAAGCTCATTGGACGCTACAATGATGAGGCGGTGATGTTCTGAGGAAGGGTCACCGGACCCGAAACGTTAACTCTGTTTTCTCCTTCACAGATGCTGCCAGACCTGCTGAGCTTTTCCAGCAACTTTGTTTTTGTTCCTGATTTACAGCATCCCCAGTTCTTTAGGTTTTTAATAATGAGGCGGTGTTAAACTCAGGCAAACAAACAAACACACACACACACACATACACACACACACCGTAACTGGAATATAATGTGATCTCCGGGGACACGCAATAGTTTTGCAAGCAATGTTTGACCGGTTTCCAGGAATTTGCAGGCGCTATGTGTTCCAACCCTACCTCCCCCCTCGACCCCCCTCACAAAAGCAAGAGGGACGACAGTGACATTGAGTCCAATTTCACGTCAACCCCTCAATCCATTGCAAAGCTGTCAACGGCTATTTCCCAACGCTCACCCTCAGAAATGTCACTCCATTTTGCTGCTCCATCTGTTCCTGCATCTTTGTAATCTCCTCCTGGATTGAATTTAAATTCTCCTGAATCTCTCCAAGGTTCTTCCCCATCGTGTCGAGAATCCTCTCCTCTTCCCTCCTGAGCTCTCTGAGCAAAGGCTGCTCTTTCTCAGCGAGAACCTGGTGCATTTTAGCGAACTGGGATGTGATGTGCAACTGCAGACAGTTCGCCTGTTCCTGCCCAATGCAATTGTGGGGAGGGGGGAGGTGGAGGAGAACAAAGATCATGTACTGTACCGCGATAGAGGGAGTAGGAGACCCAGAAGGGAGTGGGGGGTGGGGGCGTGTGGTGGGGAGTTGGTTGACATACCTTAACTTCAGAAATCTGGCGGATCTGCTTCAGTTCCGTGTGTAGAAACAGCGCTCTCTTGTCAATCAGAGATTGTAAAGAAGATTTCAGCTGCTCCTGCGAGGAAATCACAAAAGGAAGGGGTTAGACTCTGAAAAAACAAACGTTATTGGGTAAATCTGAAGGTGAAACCCACTCTATTTTTGCCTTGTACATTTCCACCGCTTCTTTGATGGGCATGAAACTGTGAGATTTGTGTCCTCCCGAATCTCTACAAATGTAACAGATCAGTTTCATGTCAGTTTCACAGAACAGCTTCACCTCCTCCTGATGCTCCTCACATCAGGAGCTTCACGTCCCTCAATTTCGACTCCAGGCTGAGTTTTCTCGCCCTCTCCGCCAGATTGGCTAAGGCCCGGTTCACCGTGAGCTTCTTCCGCGGGAATTCCCGTCTGCACTCCGGGCAGGAGTTTCTCGCCTCCCGTTCCCAGTTCCCCGTGATACACGCGCAGCAAAAGTTGTGACCGCCCTCCGGTCAGACCGGGTCAGCGAAGAAGTCGAGGCAAATCTGACAGTGTACATCCTCGGTCCAGCTCTGGGACTGCAGTCTGTAAGCCATGTTCACACCCTCCAACACTTCCTGAAGCAAAACGCCGCTTTCAGTTTTGCCGTTCAAGCTAACTCTGGCTAAGGGCATTGCTGTTGACGGAACACGCCTCCCTCCGCTGTTTATATTCTGCAGGGACCGCTACCCCCATCCTCCACCCCCGCGATAACCCCTGTTCCACCTCCTCCATCAATCCTAACACTCCCCGCCTCCCTCCCTATGGTACCCTCACATGCAATGGGCTTAAGGAGAGGTAATGCCCCTTTAAGGGGAAGGAATGGCCTAGTGGTATTATTGCTGGCCTGTTAATCCAGAAGACCCAGGTAATGTTCTGGGGACGCGGGTTCGAATCCCACCACGCCAGATTTCAACTTTTAAAAAAAAAACCTGGAATTATGAATCTAATGACGACCGTGAATCCATTGTCAGGAAAAATCCTTCTGGTTCACTAATGTCCTTTAGGGAAGGAAACTGCCATCCTTACCTGGTCTGGCCTACATGTGACTCCAGACCCACAGCAATGTAGTTGACTCTGAGCTGCCTTCAGGGCAATTAGGGATGGGCCATAAATGCTGCCCTAGCCAGCGACGCCCTCATCCCGTTAATGAATAAAATGGCAGAAAGTATGACATTTACAGGGTCATCTCCTCACAGTCCCAATGCCCCAGAACACACCTTCCGGGTGAAGCAGCATTTCACTGTACTTCTTTCAATCTAGTCTCCTGCATTTGCTGCTCGCAATGAGGTCGCCTTTATATCGGCGAGACTATTTTATTTCAAAATATACTTCATTCATCTTTATATATAGAGACATAATCACAAACACAGTTCTGTCATCTATGATAGCACATCATGGGAACAAGCGAACATTGGGGTTCGACTCTATCCAAACAAACCAAAAGCATCTCTTACTTGAACCAGAGATAACACAGTGTGGGTATGACTCACTCAGAGATAGTAAGAACTGCCGATGCTAGAGTCAGAGATAACACAGTGTGGAGCTGGAGGAGCACAGCAGCATCAGAGGAGCAGAAAAGTTAACATCCCGGTTCGGGACTCTTCTTCAGAAATCAACTTTCCTGCTCCTCCCTCCTCTGATGCTGCCTGGCCTGCTGTGTTCCTTCAGCTCCACACTGCGTTGTCTCTGACTCCAGCATCGGCAGTTCTTACTATCTCTTATTTGAACCAGATTGTATTTACATGCATTTGAGGCACCAAGAGGGTCTAGTAACTGAACAGACCCCCATTTAACTTCAACAGGAAGAGACGGGCGATCACTCTCCAGAGCATTTTGGCTCTGTCAGACCCCAGACCTTTCAGGCAATTGTCATTTCAATAAACTATCCTTTTGTTTTCATACGACCATTTCTGTCGTGTCTTGCTACAAGAAGACCTATGAGCAGAAGCAGGCCTTTCGAATCCGCTCCACCATTCAATGTGATCATGCTTGAGAGATAACCTTCAGCTCCACTTCCCTGCTTCTTCCCCATAATCCATGATTCCCTCACTGATTATAAATCTATCTCAGTCTGGGATATACTTAGTGACCAAGCCAGGAAAAAAATCCCACCCTTCCTCACCTCTGACTTAATTGTATGCCCCTTGAGCTGCAATGTTCCAAAGTTGCATAAAGTAAGGTTGAGAAACAACCCATTATTTCCCGCTGAGGCACCTCACAGCCTTTGGGACACAATATTGAGTTCCACAACCAAATCCCAACGATTCAGAGTGTGCCATGTATCCTCCATTTTCTCTTCTGGTCTCTGCTGTTCTCCCTCTCACTTCCCGCAGGCTTTATTTGGTTTCCTACAGGGTGGAAGCAGGCCACTCGGCCCCTTAAGTCAACACCAAACCTCCAAAGAGCATCCCACCCTTAACCCTGCATTTCCTCATGGCTAACCCACATAACCTGCACATCCGTGGACACTGTGGAGCAATTTCCCATGGCCAATCCACCCTAACCTGCTCATCTTTGGACCATGGGGGGAAACCGGAGCACCACGCAGACATGGGGAGGATGTGCAAACTCTGCATGGACAGTTCCCCCCAGGGTGGAATTGAATCTGGGTGCTGTGTCATTGAGCCATCATTCCACCCAGTTTGTTCCCTGTTTACTTGGATCTCAACCAAGAAAGGCCATTTTCACACTTCCAATCCTTAATTTACATTAATTTACATCTCTGTTTCTCTTTCACCCCAATTAGCAACCCCTTTTCTCTTTTGCAGTGGGCCTCCAACATGTTTATTCCCTTCACCCCTCTTCTGTCACTGTATAAAAACCTTATTTTCCCAATCCCTTTCGGTTCTGCAAACAAATAAAACATCATACCGGACTCGAACGTTATCCCGTTTCTCTCTCCACACCTGCTGAGTTTCTCCAGCATTCTCTGTGGTAACTCTGCCTTGAATAAATTCAGTGACCCAGTTGTTTTTTTGGGAAGGAAAATTAACGTGTGGCACCCACAGTGCTGAGAGGAGGGATCCAGATTATTGACTCAATGATGGCGAATGAACTTTGATTATAGTTCCCAACCAGGACAGTGAATGGCCTGGAGAGGAACTAGCAACGTGTAATGCTCCCATGAATAAAAGAGTGCTCCCTAATTTTAAAACAGTGTCCACTAGCTCTGAGCTGACCCACAAGAGGATACATCTTTACACATCCACGTTGTCAAGGCCATTCACAATGTTATACATCTCAATCCAACCATTCTTCAATCAATCAATTATCCTTACATGCCTTTCTAAATTCCAGTGTTAAAGCCCAACATGTCTACACAGGACAAGCCATTCAATCTAGATATTAATTTATTATACCTCCTCCAATGTATTTACAGCACTCTGTAAATAAGGAGACCAAGACTACAGAGTACTTGAGATGTTGTTCACCGTTGCCCTGTATAACTAAAGCTGTGCTTCGGGATCTGAGAATAATTTCACTTCCCACACTGTGACTGGGGCTTATCAGGCTTACTTAACCAATTGATTTCAAAAACACATTTTAGAGCAATGAAGACTAACTGCCCCTCTAAATTCGTTAAGAGTAGCTTCTTAGAGCAATATGTCATGGACCCAACCAGGGAGAGGGCCATCTTGGATCTGGTAATGGGTAATGACACAGGTTTTTTGTTTAAAATAACCTCAGAGTAGAAGATCCCCTAGGAAATAGTGATCATAACATGGTAGAGTTTCATATTCAGTTCGAGAGTGAGAAACTTGGATCAGAAACAACTGTGTTTAACTTAAATGAAGGGAATTACAACGAAATGAGGATAGAGTTAGCTAAAGTGAACTGTGCGGATAGATTAGCAAGGCCTGATAGTAAGAATGCAGTGGCAGTCATTTAAGGGGTAATTTATGATTCTCAGCAAAAGTACATCCAAGTAAGGAGGAAAGATTGTAAGGGAGGAATATACCAACCATGGCTAACCAAGGAAGTTAAGAAATATTATGTCAGAAGAAAAAGCCGTTAAGAAGGCAAAAGTCAGTGATAGCTCCAAAGGCTGGGATAAACTAAGAACCCAGAAAAGGAGGACTAAAGTGATCGTAAAGACAGAGAAAAATAGACAGGTTGGATTCTACTCACTGGAGTTTAAAAGAATTGCGAGGTCATTGAAGAACACAAGTTTCTTAAGGACCTTGACAGGGTAAATGCTGAGAGGATGTTTCCCCTCATTGGACATTCTAGGACCAGTGGGCATAGTCTCAGAATAAAGGGATGCCAATTTAGGACTGAAATGAAGAGGAATTTTTCTCCAGAGCATTGTGAGTATATTTTGGAACTCTTTGCTACACAGAGAGCTGCTGGGGCAGAGTCCTGGCGTATATTTAAAGCTGATATGGATAGATTCTTGATCAGACGCAAAATCAAGGGTTACGGGGAAAGGGCAGGAAAGTGGCTGTGAGGAATGTCAGTTTAGCCATGATCCTATTGAACGGGGCGCAGACTTGAGGGGCTGAATGGCCTAACCCTGTTCCTTTTTCTTATGGTCTCATGGCTTTGTGCAGGAATGTGAGAAATTGGTGAGAGGGACTTCCCAGACATAAGAATATGTGGGATTGGTGGGATCCAGTAGTGTGAGTGAGGGTTTGGATATACCACCCCAAATCCAGGAGTGTGAGGGCAGGTTTTGGGGGCAAAAATACACTAGATCAAGGAGTGTGATTGAAGTGTAGGTGAGGCCATCTGAGACACAACAGTGTGAATCATTGTTTGGAGAGATCCTCCCCACTCTGGGGGTATGAGAGACAATTGACAGAACCTGCCCAGAAACAGAACATTGAGATTGTGGTTAGTGGGAATGTCACAGAAATGGAATTGTGAGAGTCGGGAAATCTCCCAGTACAGTGTGGGTGACAGAGTATTTGCTGCACCACTTGGGACAGTGAGAGAGGGATTAGCAGGATGTCTTCAGATGGACATGAAGCAGGACCTCCCAGATATTGGCTCAGCATTAGCAGGAATGGCTAATAGCGACCTTCCACAGCTGGAAGGGTTTAAGATGGGGATGTCAAAAGATTGAGTGTTGTGAGAGACAGACTCTAGAAAACTTGACAGACAGAGGATTGTGGGAGAGTAAAGAGGGTGGCACGGTGGCTCAGTGGTTAGCCGTGCTGCCTCATGATACCAGGGACCTGTGTTCAATTCCACCCTCAGGCAAATGTCTGTGCAGAGTTGGCACATTCTCCCCGTGTCTGCATGGGGTTTCCTCCAGGCAGTCCAGCTTCCTCCCGCAGTCCAAAGATGTGTAGGCTCAGTGGGTTAACCATGCTAAATTGCCTGTAGTATTCAGGGAGGTGTACATTGGGTGGGATGCTCTGTGTGGTAGAAAAATTTTACATCACAAGGGTAGATGGGAATTTAGGCCAAGACAGAAAAGGCAACCATGGGAGAAACTGATGGCATAGAGAAAGAATTTTAATTAGTTTAGCATGTGGGATTTTAATGAACTTAGCAGAAGTCGGGAGGTAGTTACTCAGACTGTGTTATCACTATGCGCACGTTATCTTAGCTAGAGCTAGAGAAGGATCTCTTGATATGTTGTCACTATACCAAGGTTTTAGGCTGAATTAGAGATGTCCCTTGTATCCCCTTGGGGCCTAG